GAGACTAAATGGCTAGAGAGCATGGTGCCTCAAATGATCCTCAGTTACTTGCCCTGGGTTCTGGTGGAAAGGCCAAGGCCTAATGTGTTCATCTGGTAACTCACCCCATTCTCATTCCTACCTCCTATAAAACCCACAGGTGGGGGTGGGCAAGTCTAAAACAGGTGGCTAAAAAAAAAGAAACTGTGCATGAAATTTGGGGTAAATTGCCTCTTTTAGAAGTTTATAAAGTCATATTCCTTACCAAAGGAAGAAAGAAAGAAAAACAAAAAAATAAAGAAGTAAAAAAAAATACAAAAAAATCAAAAACAAAAGTCATATTCCTCCACACTATTATCTATGATTACTTAAATACAAAAGCCAGTTGCTCTATACTTGTGATATCTGTCTTTCCTCAGCTGGATCACCAAAGAGCATAATTACTACTGCATCCCAGACTGCACATAGGTACAATTGCCAGAATGTAAATTATTTTTATTGCTAACATCTTGACTATCAAAATTAGAACTACATGGTGTTATTCATTTATTTTTGCCTATAAGGGGAGAACTAACTCCTCCAAAATACTCATGTTTAAGGCATTCCCTGAAACCATTCTACTCCTGTGGTCCATAGGCCAGGAACATCATTATCCGCTGGTCCCGGGAGCTTGTTAGAAATGCAGGATCTCAGGCCTCATCCAGGATCTATTGAATCAGAATCTGCATTTCAATGAGACTCTCAGATGATTCATAATAGATACAGGAGAATTTGAGAACCACTCCCTGGGAATGAATTCAGGACTCCTATTGCCCCTACCACATAACTTTACCCTACCACTTATCAGCCCCACAAGAGGGCCTGTTTTACTTGTCTACAACCCCTTGGCTGAGACTTCTCCACTCACCTGCCTTTCAAAAGCGGTGTCTGTGTTTTGCCTGTTACATCAGTGCCCCCCACATGCTCAAGAGACTTTTTAAATGAACAAACAACTAATTATATATGTTGTGTAGAATTAGGTATGAGCTGCCTTGAGTTTCCCAAGGTCTTGTTAGTCTCTGAATCCAGACTAGTTATATTAGGCCAAATTTTGCTGGCTTTTGTCTTCATTTGTCCATGTAGTAACTCCTGCTGTAGCAAACTGCCACCCAGTGTTTTTGGGAGTTAGCGATGTGTCTTTTAAATAGTTGCTATCAAATGCTAGACAGCTACCAGTTAGTGTCCACTACTCCTTTCCCTATTCCTTCTCTGGTGCCCAAACCTGTTCACCTGTTTCTGTTGTTGACCTCAGGTATGGCTCTCTTTCCTATAGTGAGGCCTTGAGATTCTTGAAGTCCAAAGCATCTTCCAGGCTCATGCCTGGTATGAGTCATATCCATAATTTTCCAAGTGGTTCCTTAGAAGTTGAAGTAGAAATATGTATCCTGCCACATTCCCTCTCAGGGGGTGGTTTTGTTTTGTTTGGGTTTGCCTCCACTGGAAGATAGACTCTACCTTCAACATATGAATCTGGTGAGAACACAATTCAGCCTATAACAACTTGGATCTGTTTGCAGATGCTCTGTGTTATGTTTTGTGTTTAGATGTCTTGCTAAAGCCTCATGCAGTCATAGGTGAGGATTTTTCAGAGGTAGCTAAATCTAGAGCAGGTGATTGATTCATAGTACAATGCTAGGATTAAGGGTGGGTGATTACTAAACCAGTACACTGGTTTGGTTCGGCACTGCTAATCCCAGTAGCCTGGACACAATATAAGGGGCAGAAAGAGGCTTGTCTTGCCCCTTGCTTTGCTACCTTCTGCCCACCATGAACAGTTTCTCCTCTAAAATGCTTGTCTGCCATGCCACTCTGCCTTTGAGCCAGCTGACTATGGACTGAAACCTCTACAAACTGTGAGCCAAATAAACATTTCCTCCCTTAACTTTGGGCACCGGGTATTTTGTCTCAGCAATGGGACAAGTAACTAAGACACACTGTTAATCCACTCCTGTGTTATCACCACAGGTAAAAACCTGTTCAATACTTAGAAGACAATCTATTATTTAACTGCTCTTAATATCTTAGGTGCTATATCCTATGTTAGCCAGCTTCTGTTCCTGTGACAAAAACACTTGAGAATAACAACTTAAAGAGGAAAGGTTTATTTTGACTCACAGTTTCAGAGGTTTCAGTCCATGGTTAGCTGGATTTATCGGGTTTAGACCTGTGGTGAGACAGAACCATCATGGCAGAAAGGTGTGGGGAAGGAAAGCTGCTCAGCTCATGGCTGCTGAGAAGCAGAGAGAATGAGAGTTAAGCATTGCTGATGGGCTTCCTACTTCCTCCACTCTTGTTCCGTCTAGAACCCTGTCTGTTGGATGGTGCCCCTCACATTCAGGGTTAGTCTCCCCTTTTGATTTACTGTATCACATGTCTGTTGTCTCTAGAAACTCTACCAAGTAAATGCTTTATTAATTTCCTAGGCATTTCTTAATCCAATCAAGTTTACAATCAAAATTAACCATCACACATCCTTTGTAAAATTTTTTCCAATTTCTTCTCTCACCTATTAGAAACAAATAGCTCCCAATGTATTTTATTTGAAACTCTATTATAACATTGTTCATTTTATGAAGGGATGTGTCAATTTTAACTTTAAACTGGATTATAAGCTCCTAGGGCTCAAATAATTGTGATTTAGCTTGCATCATCTCACAACTATCCTGTAAAGTAGGAATAAAGCTCAGAGAAGTCAAGTTATTTGCCTGAGAGCATGTAGCTAGTGAGTGATTCACTTTAGACTCCAACTTAGTCCTTCTAACTCCAGATCCCAAATTGTTAACCATTACACAGCACTGACTCCTTAGCCATATTGTATTGTCTTTTATCTCCAAGCTGTGTGCCTGGTATGCAGTAGGTACCAAACATATGTGCTAGGCTAAAAAGCACACTAGCCAATTTTTATGATATCATCCTTTCTATTTTAAAGTCCTTGTCACTAGTGCACTAATTTAGATCTGGACTACTGTGGCTGGAGTAACAGATGTATGATCAAAGTCTTCCTCATCCCCATGACACATAGAGTCTGTGCTGCTGAATAAGGATAGTCACTTTTTCCTTCCTGTGAAATCCTGATACTGTAACACAGTCTCAAGCCAAGCTCCATCAGTTCCTTTTACTTAATGCTACTATTTCTCAGCATGTCAAGTCAATACCACAAAAAGTTTTTATTTACAGAAAGAATGGCTATTATCAATAAATTGATCAATAACACATGCTGGAGGGACTGTGGGGAAAAAGGAACCCTTCTCCACTGTTGGTGGGAGTGTAGACTGGTGCAGCCACTGTGGAAATCAGTGTGGAGATTCCTCAAAGAACTAAAACTAGAGGTTCCATTTGACCCAACTATTCTCCTTCTTATCTTCCTGAAAGAATTAAAAAACATCATACCACAGTGATATATGGACACCCATGTTATAGCGGCACAGTTTCTAATAGCTAAATCTTGGAAACAGCCCAAATGCCCATCAACCAATGAATGGGTAAAGATGTGGCTTTTTCATACAATGCCATAAAGAAGGATAATTTTGAGACATTTCTAGCTAAATGGATGCACCTTGAGATAATACTCTTAAGTGAGATAAATCGGACACACATGTTTAACTACCACATTGTTTCTCTGGTGTGAGAAACCAAAATTATAAATAAGGACCAAAGTATATAATAGATATTGGGAAATGGGAAGAAAATGTTCAAATGGGGAGGAAAACAGGGGGGGTAGGAGCAAAGGAAAGAAGGGACAAGAAAAAAAAGAGACTAGAAGGAAAAAATGGAAATGGCTTTTGTAAATAAAGAGGGAAGAGAGTTTGAAGGGAGGGGAGGGGAATGGGAAAAAAGGAAGCAAGATATGTCATGTACACATACTAATTCTCTATGAAGAATGTTATCATTATGTATATCTAAAATGTACCAATAAAATAGAAAAAAGTTTTTATTTAAAGATGAAAATAAAAACTTGTGAAAGATTAATTAGCATATAGAGAGTCAATAAATGCTAATTTTCCATGATCACTAATGAATAAATTTATGGGCTGGTGTTCCTATGAAAACTATACTGTATACAATGAATGTGATTTGGTGGGTCAAGCTGATTTAGGGTGAAAACATAGGAAATAATTAGGCTGTTTTGCTGGTGGTGGTAGCCTATTGTTGGGCTCAGGTTAGTATGACTAGAATAACACCTATCTATACCTAAATTGTTCTGTTTTTTCTATATATGAAGAATCCACATATTTATAAAATCTTGAATAATAATATTATCTGGTCAGGATTTATGATATACTTAAATTTCCTAGATGAAAGATCCCTTTATTAATTAATGGTATAATATATTTCATGAAAATGAATAAAATCTTCATTATTTTCTATCTTCAGCATTAAAATATAAGCTTCATTCTAATTTTGTCTGTTTAAAAACTTTTTGAGTTATTTCCTTGTGAGATTTCAAATAATATCTTTCTTCCTTAATATTAGTTTTCAGACGCTCACATAGAGCTCTATCTCCCCAGAGGCCTTTGTTTATAGCTACACAATTTTTATTGCTACAGAATTCCTTTTAGCTCTTTATGATTTCTCTTGCTCCAAGGCCTTGTCTAGATCTGACATCCTATGATTCTGAGATCCTCTACGATGAAAGCAATGCTGAGATTGTTAAGCTCAAAAACAATATAAGTTTGAAGAGGCAAGTAGAGCAATGTAAGTGCTGTTATTGTCACTGTTGTATAGATTTGGAAAATAAGCTCAAAATGACAGCATGGGTTGAGTCCCTTTCATTTATGTAGCTGTAAACTCACAAATGAGTCTGTTTTTCAAGAGCATGTCAAGGTACTCTCCTTCCCAAGGATTTTCCCCTATGTATTTTTCTGACTTTCTACCAGGCATATCTTACATAAAAGCTGACCACCCCACACCACCTGTAGCAGCAACAACAGCAGCAGATGCCCAACTTTAAACTTCCATCTGCATTGCTTCTTACCCTTTTGTCCTTATGAGGTGTTTGTTTCCTTTGTTTTGCAAAGAGGCAGTTTTATATCAGGTGCCCACACTTGGCAGCTAACACTGCCAGAGCTGCTGAGTTTCCTCTGAGTTTCTTGCTATTGGTGGAGGCAGATATAATGCAGAGGCTAGCATTTGAAATTTAGTATGTGTCAGATTGGCTAGAATATCTGAAGAATGAAGAATTTCATTTTTCTAATTTTAAACATGCAATAACTAAAGAACACATTTGTCTTAGTCCACTTTCTGTTGCTAACAGTACCTGAGACTGAGTGATTTATAAATTCATGGTTCTGGAGTCAGGGAAATCCATGTAACTGGTGCTAGCATCTGCTTGGATTCTTCTGAGGGCATATGCTGCTTCAACTCAAGAGAGAAAGTGGAAGTGCCAGAAGGCACATGTGTGAAGGAAGCAAAACAGGAGAGGTGAATTTGCTTATAACAACATGCTGTCACAGTAACTGCTCCAGTCCTGATGGTGAGGGTGGCACTAATCCCTCTAAATGGCTTGATCACCTCTCAACACTGCCACAACAGCAATCGAATTTCCACATGAATTTCAGAGAGGCCAAAACATTCTCAAACCGTAGCAACATTTTAAAAGAACATTTAACAACATTTTAAACTTTACAAGATGCCAGCTTTTTGTGGATGTCCAAGCATAGGGTCTCCTCAAGTGCAGAGTTTATATTTTTCCTAGAAGAGAAGCTTTACTCATGACAGAAGCCATGCTTTACCTTTCCTTTGAAAAGCGTAACCAAGTCCATATGACCACAAAGCAAGACTTGAAACAACTATTCCTTAGAACCACAATTCTTGATCAGCGCAAGAAGAGAGCAATAAGATATCCACCCATGCTCCTCCTGAGTGATTAAGTTATTCTCTCTCAACTCAAGCTCCTCCTTCTATATTCAGTGATGCTGGGACCTAAACACCACTTTTCTCTTTTGTCAGCTCCTTCTCATTAGGCTTTGCCAGTAGAGAGTAATTGCAAGTTTAAAGTTTTTGTTTCACTTTTGCTTCCCATTCTTAAAGGTCACTGAAGCAACACTTTTCACCCTAGCTCCTGCACTTCAACCACACTACTTGTGAAGTAAAATCTGCTTGGAATTCACCACTCCAAAAATGAGTGTCGTGCCACTTGCCACGGGTACTAACATGACCTCACTCATAGATCTGGGTCCCATCCTGCAGGATCCTCCTCTGAGTCTAGAGACAAAGGTACTTCCTGCCCAGTGTTCCCCTCTCCAGAGGTTAAGCCGTAGCTTCTTTTTCCACACTCCACTTGGATGTATTTCTTAGGTCCAGACCTCTTGCATTTACATGCATGGAACTGAAGTTCAGGTAGTTTTGTTTGTTTGACATTAAAGGTAATGATGTCATAAGAAGGCTGGAGAAGTTGGGAACATTCTTCTTATGTAATGACTCCCGAACCTGTGTCTGTATGCTAGACATCTTTTCCAAAATTAAATGGAGAACCTATATGTACTTTGTCTTAGTCACTTTCTCCTCGCTGGGACAAAATATCCAACACACACAACTTACAGAAGGAAAGGCGTATTTGGCCCACAGTTTTCAGTGGGGTTCAGTCCAAAGTCAGCTTGCTCCAAAGCAGAAACAGCATGGTGGAAGAGTATGCCAAGAAAAGCTGTTCAATCCATGGTAGCTAGGAAGCAGAGAGAAAAGGGAGCAGTTAGCAACAAAAATACACTTTTCCAGGTCATGCCCCCCAGTGACCCACCCCCAACCAGGCCTCACATCCTAACATTATATTCAGTTACTGAACTCATCAATGGATGAAAACACTGATGACTACAGTGTCCCCATGACCCACTCACTCTCCAAACACATTAGACTTTGGGGGAAATTTTTAGATCTAAACTATGATATACCTCAAGACTGCATATACAAAATTAAATCATTAATTTTTTGTTTAGATCAGCAAATTTTGAATATCTACCAGTATTCAGTGCTATTTTTTACTTTTACATACAGTCTCTAAGTTCTGTCAGTTTGATTCTTAAGCATCTGCTACAGTCCATTGCTACTTCACAACCCACCAAACTCATAGGACAACAGTAAAACCCTCTTTTTCCTTTGCTTCCCAGTTGTTTCCCTTCTAATCTAATCTTTCTGTATTCCATATGTTTTTTTTTTAAAGATCTAAAAAGATAACTCCTCTCCAGAACACAGTCCCAGATCTGTCTAGGTACTCTGAAAGACTCTCTTACCACTCTAAATCACGTACGGATTTTTTCTCTTCATCAGTGGTTTTGAAAATGTGATTATGTTCCCAACCAATGTGATTGTCTTACTTTGTTTCTTCTGCTTGTTATTCATTGAACTTGGTCCCCTTATGTTTTTTTCTTTTTTTTTTTTGAGCCCCCTTATGTTTTTTAATTTTTTGGTGTTGAAGACTGAACCCAGAGCCTCATGCTTTCTAGGGAAGTGCTCTATCACAAGCTGAAACCCCAAACTATTTATTGAACTTGAATCTGTGGGTTTATAGTTTCATCAAATATGAATATATTGGGCCACTACTTACTCAAACATACAAACATTTCTTTTGTCCCCCCACCCCGCCCCCCGAGTCCCCGGTAACATAGATATTACATCACTTAAAGTTGTTCCACAGCTTATCAACTTTTGTCCTTTTTTCCTCATGTTCCACTTTGTATACCATCTATTCTTATATCTTTAACTCACTAATATTTTATCATAATCTGCCATAGTCCCATCCAGTGTAATTTTCTCTCAGTCATTTTATTTTTATCTCCCGAAGTTCTATTTGGCTCTTTTATTGTGCTTTTAATTCTACTTAATGTTTTGATTTTATGGAATACAGTATTATAGGTGTTTTTGATGCTATCTTCTAACATCTATGTTAATTCTAGATTAAGCCAATGAATTGATTGCCCTCCTTATTATGGGTCATATTTTCCTACTTCTCTGTATGTCTGGTAATTTTTGTTTGAATGGCAGACATAAATTTTACCTTGGTATGTGCTGAATATTTTTGTATTTATATATATTCAAATGTATATAATTTGGTGGTAGGGTGCAGGGTCTCACACATGCTAAGCACAAGCTCTACCAGTGAGCTATACCCCTATAAATATTCTTTTTTTTTTTTTTGTGGTACCAGGGATCAAACTTGGGACCTTGCACTTTCAAGGCAGGGGCCAGAAACACTGAGATAAATCCCTGGCCATAATATAAATATTCTTAAGTCTCACTGTGGAATATTAAATTACTTAGATATAATTTGATCTTTTGGGGTCTTGCTTTTATGATTAGGTGGGCACATAGCTGTGTTCAATAAAAGCTAATTATTTCCTGCTACTAAAACAAGACCTCCCTGAGTTTTCAATCTAGTGCTCTGTGAATTATGAGTTTTTCCCATCTAGCTGTGAACAGGTGCTATTTCTGAATCCGTGTGAACACTGGCACTGATGTTCTCTAATCCTTTTAGATATTTCTCTTTCCATGAATTTTCTGATCATGTATGCATAGATCAGTACTCAGCTAATGCTTAAAAGGGACCTAAAGGAGATTTCTATGGTTTTTCTGGGGCCTGTACTATTTTACAAAGCAGTTGTGAGGATCAGGTGTTTTTAGGTATGCAATAGACTCTAACTTGGTGCCTGATGCATGGTTGAGTTTTAATGAACATTTTGTGAATCTGATTTAGATCTTCAGATGTAAAATGTCTTTAGTGGAAAATTCTCCCTATCCCTCTTTTTTTTCTTTTTTGGTACTAGAGATAGAACCTAGGCATATGCTAGGCAAACACTACCATTGAGCTACATCTCTTAGCAGTATTTTATTTTATTTGTTTCTGTTTTTGTTTTTGGGTTTTTTTGGTACTGGGGATTGAACTCAGGTCCTTGAGCTTGCGAGGCAGGCAGAACCACTGGGCTAAATCCCCAGCCCTAGCAGTATTTTATTTTAAATTTTGACACAGGGACTCACTAGGTTGCCCACACTGGCCTTGAACTTGTGATCCTTCTGTCTCAGCCTCCTGAGTGGTTGAGATTATAGGTGTGTACTACTACCCCTGGGTAATTTTCTCTCTCTCTCTTTCTTTTTTTTTTTACTACCTAGCATCTGTAATTTCTTCCAATAAGACAGAGCCTGTACCTTAAAGAAACTGCAAAGGTCAGATTCTTACTTTTTTTCTCACCCTTTCTGTTAGAATGACAGCCCATGACCCAGCCCTAGCCCACTGCCATCAGCAATACCTAAGCTTGTCTAGACTTCAAAAAAGAACAAAGTCAGGGAAGAAGCAGAGACCATGATGAAATTCACTCTAGGGTCAAGATGCAGCAGCATCAGTGAGAGTAGCTACATCGGTTCTTTAGAGACAGCATCCCTGCACAGACGGCCATCTGATACCCTGCAGAGCAGCAGTACAGTTTTTATTAGAACTGTTCTGGAGTGAGGTTTGGGGCTCCTTAGTGGTTATGTAGCATACTAGGCTGGAGGTCCAGGTTTTCTAGCGATTCTGCACGTCATCCAAATATTCTTTAACATTTGTATATTCAAGCATAACATATATACAGGGAAACATAGGTGTAAGTGATTACTTTTTACAAAATGAATTTTCACAACATGAACATGTTTATAACCAGTGCTCATTTCAAGGAGCAAAATATTACAAACATCCTAGAACCTTTCCTATGCCTCTCCAGTCACTACCACCTGCCCTTCAACACCTAACATATTTTAGTTATGGTCATCACTCTTTTTGTTGTTTTTCTTTTTTATATGCAAATAGAATCATCTTTCTTGATGTCTGACATTTTACTTGTGTGATTCATCCATATTGTTTTGTGTAGTTGTAGTCATGTATTATTATAATAAAACATTCTATTTATTACAATATATTTATAAATTTGTATTGGCAGTCCTCAAAATCACCCCAGATTCAAAGAACTGCTGGGAAGACTCAGAGATCAGGAAAGATGTTACACTCATGGCTATGGTTTCATTCAGTGAAAGGTATTGAATTAATTCAAAGGAAAAAGGTGCATAGGGTTGAGTCTAGGCAAATCTAGGCACAACCTTGTGATTGTCCTTTCCCAGTAGAGTCACATAGATAGTGCTTAATTCTTCCAGCAATGATATGTAACAATTGGGATGCCCCTCTGAGCTTTGGTGCACAGGTAATTTTTGGAGGTCATTCACATAGGTGTGCAGTACCCTTATGATTGGTCTTAACTACTCAATCTCTAGCTCCTCATCGGTCAAACTGACACACTATGGCCTCAGGAAATTAAAAAACCAGGCATTTTCCATAAATCATATTGTTAATATAAGCTAGCTGCCATAAGCCTAAAACTTAGGCATACAAAGCCACTTTTCCAAGAGCACAATCTAAGGGTCAGAGATCTTTTCCCAAGAACTAGGCCAAGGGTCAGTGCTGAAGATCTTGGGAATGTACAGGTTTTGAGGAAACCCAGGCCTATAGAATTGACCCTTTATGCACACTATTATTCTGTTGATGAGTGTGTATTTAGTTTAAGTTTTGATTGACGTGAACAGCATTACTATGAACATTGTTGTACAGGTTTTTGGTGAGGACTTGTTTGCGTTTTACATTGGGTGATTACTTAGAAATGGAAATGGTAAGTTCAAAGAATGTGGCATTTGTTTAGCTTTCTTAAATACTGTCGGAATTTTCCAAAGTAACTGTCCTAATTTACACTATTAGCATCAGTCTAAGTTTCCAATGTTTTAAAAAATTTATTGAGGTATAATAGACATACAATAAATTTCATATTAAAATGTACAATTTGATAAATTTTGGTGTACCTATATCTACACTTGTAATGCCACCACTGTGATCAAAATAATGAACCCATAATTCATCTCCAAAATTATCTTGTATTCTAACTATCCTCTTAGTCTCTTAGTGAATTCATTTTTATATTAAAATCAGCCAGAATCAATTGTTACTCACAATTGAGACTTAGACTTCCTTGATGACATAACTTTGTGTTTGTCTTGCATTTGTGTTGAGCTTGTTCCCTCTGCAATTCTTTTCACTTCAATAGATTCTTGCTGAGCATCTCTGATGTTTTTCAGGCACACAGACTCTGATTTTTGCCTGTGAATGCCAGTTGAACCACATTCGAGGTCATCTAATGCAGTTTTATCCTCAGGACTCCTCATGATTCCACATATACTTTTATCTCTAGTTCTATGCACAAACTTCTTCCTGAACCAACCTAGAATCCTTGGCCTCAATCCCTCCTGGTTGGCCCAGAACCAAAATCCTTTAGATCCAGCCTTGACAGAGGGTTTCCTAGATGTCAAGAGGCCTCTTCCTCAGTTTTTCATTAAATTGCATAGACCGGTGTTATCTTCTCCCAAAAATATGTTGGAATCCTGACTTCCAGTAACTCAGAAATGACATTTTACGGAGACAAAGTCTTTACATAGTTAAAATGAGATTAGGATGGACCCTAATCCAATATGACTTTTGTCTTTATAGAAAGGGGAAATTTGGACACAAAGATATTTGGACAAAAAGACAAATACAAGGAAAAATATGCAAAGAGACACAAGGATAAACTGGCTATCTACAAGCCAAAAAGAGAGTTTTGGAACAGATCTTTCTCACATAGCCCTCAAATGGAACCAGCCCTGCTGACACCTTGATTTCAGGCTTCCAGCCTCCAGAACTGTGGCACAATAAATTCCTTCTTTCCTTCCTTCCTCCCTCCTTTCTTCCTTTCCTCTTTCCTTACTTCCTATTTTTTCCCCCCCTATTTTAGGTACTTTCTCATTGCTGGGATAAAATATCCAGCACCTACAAGTTAAAGGAAGAAAGGTTTAATTTAGCTCACAGTTTGTAGGGATTTCAATCTATGATCACCTGGCTCCAAGGCAGGCTGGCATGGCAGAGCAGTATGGAAGAGGAGAAGCAGTCCTTGGCATGGAAGGCAGAAGGCAGCAAGCAGTAGCTTGCCTTCCAAATTTTCCTTTATATTCCATCCAGGCTACAATCTTATTGTTGGTGCCCTCCACACCCTAGTAAGGGGTTCCCATTGTCCACACCCAGAACTAAGCTAAACCAGTTCAGTTACCACACACTCTTAAGACATATTCAACCTAGATCAGTGGTGGCAAACCTAAGGCACGTGTGCTGCAGTGGACACACAAGAGCCTTCTCTGTGGTACATGAGCCAAGTTGCCCTAGCATCACACCAGCAGCTGAGCATTCAGGTTTAATTACAGTGTTGGCACTTTGCAATAAATAAATGGTTGCAGTTTGGGTACTCATCTCTAAAAGGTTCACTGTCACTACCCTCAATCCAGCCGCCTCTGAAAAGTCCCACCTATGAGGCTTTGGTGGAACATCTAGATACAAGGCATAACACTTTCTGACCTCCCTTTTTTCATTCCTCCATCCTTGCCCCTTGCTTTTCTTGAGACAATAAATTTTCTTTTCTCTCTCTCTCTTTTTTTTTTTAGTACCAGGGATTGAACTTGCAAGGCAGGCCCAGTGCCACTGAGCTAAATCCCTGGCCCTGAGACAATAAATTTCTACTGTTGAAACCACAGTTTGTGGTTCTTTGTTATGGCAGCCCTACCAAATTAATACAACCTGGTTGAACACAGGAGCTTTTCTCAATTATTTTCAGATTGTCTGATGTACAACATAAAACCAGAAGGCAGTGTCTGTCCTTTTGGAAACACTTTAAAAAAATTAAAATTGAGATTGGAGATAAAAGAATTCAGGAAGAACTCACTTCAGATTGTTTGACTTTAGCCATTCATGAGACCCCAAACAAGACCTGGCTAAATCATGATGTTCTCTGCTCCTTGTTCTTTTTCTGTCTTAAATTTATAAGCCTGATTCATTTTTCAACAACCATCTGTGGGAAAACATGGATTCCTTTAGTTAGTGGCTATCAAGATCTGTTCCTACTCTCAGAGAGTTTCTTTTTTCTCCCAGGTCCTTTTCATGGGAACTTTTCCAAAACCAAAAGATTGATAAGATTTTGATAGAGGCAGGTACATTTTGTCTTGAAAACACCCTGAAAGGGTGCTATAAACCTAAATCAGTTCAATTAATACTACCTTCAAAAAAACTGGCTTTAGGCTGAGTCCTTGTAAGGTCAGATGTTGCTTTATTTTTTAAATGTTACAAAGTCCCAGAACTCCTATTTGCCCTGATGGTCAAACTTTTGATTAGAGAGGGAGAAAGAGAATGACATAAACATATCATACACTAGAAATATTAAATATATTCAGAGCAGATGATTTATCGTCCTTTCAGTTCAACCTGGCAGTCAAGAATATAACACAGTAATACTTTGGTTCAGGAATACTTTTGCTCGTGAACAATTTGGTTTGCAAACAGAAGCATTCGACAAAAATTTTGCTTCCATTTGTGAACTCTGCATTGGGTGACCATGGCCATCTTCCTTGCATGAACATAAATATGGCCATCTTCCCCAGAATTGTGAAACAAATTAAGTTCATGAACTGAGGTATCACTGTGAATGTTTCCTCTAGGAAATTTCTCTTCCTCGTCTGTACTTTGGCTGTTTTCACCCTCTAATTTACACCCTTTTTTGGTCTGGATTTGAATATATTCCAGCAAAGCTGCATAAAACTCACTTGGTTGAACCTCGGAAGTGAGGCTTACTTACTCCTTGGAAAGCTTGCTCACTTTTTGGAAGTGATTTTAGCCATACCTCCTTAGGACCTTGGTGATGCTAACAAGTGCCTTGATTAGTGCAAAGATCCCCTTCTGTATCTCTGGCTTGTTTCCCCTTGACTCCATGAAATGATGCCACTCCCATCTTCAAAAGTTGCTTTTCATTTTTTAAAAATTGAGATAAAATCTACATAACAAAAAAAATCAATCATTTTAGCCTTTGCAAGTGTTTGAGTTACTTTCTCATTGCTGGGACAAAATATCCAATACCCACAAGTTAAAGGAGGAAGAGTTTATTTTGGCTCACAGTTTATAGAGGTTTCAGTATGGCTCTGAGGCAGGGCTTTGTGACAGAGGGGTATGGCAGGCATTTTATTTCCCTTTTTATTCCATCCAGGCTATAAGCCTGTTGGTTGGCACCACTCACACTTAGGATGGATCTTCCCTCTTCAGTAAATCCATCATCCATGCCCAGAAGTATGCTAAACCAATCAATCTAACCTAGTGTCACATACCCATGATCCAGTCATTCCTGAAAGCTCCACCTACGAATACGTGAGACTTGGGCAGGGGGCATCTCGATATAAGCCATAACAATAAGTATCCATCTCAGTGATTTAGTGATTCTTAGTGTACTCATGTCATACAAATATTAGCATTATCTATTTCCAAAACATATCCATCACTCCAAAAAAACTACTATATTCATTAGTTGTCACATTCTGATTCTTCCATCCTCTTTCTTCTGGAAACACTAATCTACTTTCTTGCTTGGTGGATCTGTTTATTCTGAATATTTCATATAAATTTAATCATATAATACTTAGACTTCATATCTGGCTACTTTCCCTTAGCATGTTTTAAAGGTTCATCCATGTTATCAGTAGGATTCAGCAGGTATCAGTATTGGATTCCTATACATGGCTGCATATCATCTGTTTGTATGGATACAAATATGGATACACCATATTTTTTATATATTTACCAGTTGACAGACATTTGGGTTTCCAAATATTGGCTATTATGAATAATACCACTGTCTTACTTTTCTCATTGCTGAGACAAAATGCCCAACACCCAAAGTTAAAAGAGGAAAGGTTTATTTGACTCAGTTTGTAAAGGTTTCATCCATAGTCAGCTGGTTCAAAGGCAGGGTGGCATGGTAGAGGGCATCACGGGGGAAAAACAGTTTATAGCATGACAGGTAGAAGGCAACAAAGCAGCAAAGTAGCAACAGCAGCAACCAAGCCTGCCTTTATATTTCATGCAGGCTACTCAACCTTTGGACAGTGCCACCCACACCCAGGATGGGGCACCCTTAATGCCAGCATCACATCCTAAACCCCAGCATCACACACTTAATCCCAGTATCACACACCCTAGATCCAGCCACCTCAAAAAAAAACCCCACCTATGACTGCATGAGGCTTTGCAGGGACATCTAGATACAAGCCATAACAGCCACTATGAATATTCATATATAACTTTTTGTGTGGATATGTTTTCATTTTTCCTGGGGTTAGAATACCTGGGAGTAGAATTGCTGAGTCATATGGCAACGCTATGGTTAGCCTGTTGAAGGACTGTGAATTGCTTTTCAGCCCTTTCTTTTTTTCCAAGGAGAATGAGATGATCAAATTGATTTCAGACACACTGGGAAAGCTGAACTGTCAAAGAGAAATGCCCACCATGGAAGTGAAGATGCAGGAATGGAGCCCAGCTTAGATGCCAAGATTATATATTTAGATTTGGGCATTATCCAAGTGCAGTGATTGCTAAAGCTGCAGAGGACACGAGGTGTCTGAGGGTGATAACAGGTAGAAAGAAGAGAATACAAGAGGCTTATCATAGGCTGAGCACTGTGCAGGATTGTACTTTACTTGTGGAGTCAATCATCACAACACAATAAAGTGGATGTTCTATATCCCCATTTTATAGGTGGGTAATTGAGACTCCCTGAGCTAAGGCATGTACACTGGTTTGCACAGCTATATATTGTAGATCAAGGCTTTAAATGCTTTAAATGCTTTAAACCACAGAAACTGTCTGCAGAAATTCAGAGGTTAGAAGTTGATTTTAAAATGAGCCCATTAAGTGCAATAGATGGAATGAGGTCTTATTGTGCTACAAAATAAGGAGGAGAAGTTTTGATTGTTCTTTGTTTAGAAGGAGATTATCAATTATAGTGCCAACTATTACAAAGTCATCCAGTAAGCACAAGATGTATGTGTATAATAATTGCTAATTACCTCATTTCTAACCTATTACATGCTAAGGATGTTTCCTATTCAGACTTTAATGTGTCCTGAGCTATAGGCTGCTGCTTTCCATAAATGCCCCTGGGCAGAACACCAGGACATCACTGGGTTTGTATTACAGACAGTAAGTGCATTTTAGAAAGAATAAGGAAACTCATTATTTACAGAGAAAACAGCTTAACAGAACACCAGAATTTTAAAGCAAAATAAGGTTTTTCTCACAGTAAGGCGTGAAGTAAAAGTTTGAGTGCATAAGACTAAATACTTCTTAAAACTAGAAGGAAATAGAATTATATTACAGCATTGAAATGATACTTATTTTATGGATAATGAAGCAATATTCTCACCTTCCCTCAGTATTTTATATCTTCAGCTTTTTTCTTCTCTTCAGATAGTGATGAGTGGACCTGAGATTAAAGTGCCATTATTTCAGAGCACTGAAGCAGAGCCACATAATGATGACATTCTGTGAGATATCTCGGGCAGTTTCAGCCAGGCAGGTTTTTTCAGCAGCACTCTCAGTACTGGAGGGGCTAGAGTCTTCCCTCATGTTATTAGATTGTTGGTTTTCTTGGCATTTGAGGGTGCTTGCAAGGATAAAACAAGGTTGGAACCTGATCCATGTAAAGCCAGTCATGATGCATTTATATGGAAAATTGCCATGAAAAGATCAGAAACAAATCTGGGAGAAAATAATGTAAAAATAAGCCAGATGTGGTGGTGCATATCTGTAATCCCAGCTACCCAGGAGGCTGAGGCAGAAGGATTGCCAGTTTGAAGCTAGCCTCAGGAATTTAGTGAAACCTTGTTGCAAAATAAAATTAAAAACGTCTGGGGATATAACTCAGTGGAAGGGCACCCTGGAGTTCAGTGGCCAGTATCAAGAGAAAAAACAAGCAAATAATGTAAAAAATAAAGTGAAATTAATGTCCTAAGTCTCTTAATCACAAGCTAATGGAAGAATCTCTTCTGTTTAACTGTAGGATTCCTTCACTTTCTGATCAGATAAAAACAGAGTTTAAGCAGGGCATGGTGGCACATGCCTGAAGTCCCAGCTGCTCAGGAGGCTGACACAGGAGGATTGTTTTAGCCCAGGAGTTTGAGGTCAGCCTGGGCAGAGCAGTAAGACTTCATCTCTAAAAATAAAAAAAATTACCAGAATTTAGCTTTTCTGGAAAGGTGTGTCCTACATACGTATTTTTCAAAGGCAGAGAAGAGGAGGCTTCTTTGTTCCTTCTCCATGGTGACCTGGTCTTCTCTGAGATGCCCTCCAGTGAATGGCTTGGTTGCTGCAGCTCTACTTTTGCAGGTACTGATGCCAGAGAAGCTGGAAGTCTTTCCAGGTTAACCTGAAAATGCAGATCACAAAGGCACATGGGGGCCCTACAGAATAGTCAGTGCTCCTTGGGAGATGTGGTCCTCGAGTCTTCCATTTAGCTCCTGAGAAGAATATACATTTTCCCAGCAGATCATTTGGTAATCAGATACTAACTGAAACAAACATTCTATGGTGGCCTTCCATGATTTCTACTTTCTGGTGTTCACATCTTTGTACAAACCTCTGTTTTTGAGTGAAAGTGAAACTCACAGTTTGCTCCTAACCAATAGATCATGATAAAGGTAATGGGTTTTGATGCTCATGGTTACATTATGTTATATGAGAAAGATTCCTTCTTACTAGCAGGCTTGCTCTAGAGACCCCCTTGCAGGCATTACTAAGAAAATGGCCATGTGGGAAGGCTGCAGGCAATGTTGAGGACTTGAGAATATTCCACCCACCCCCACACACCCTGCTGCCAGCAAGAAGCCAAGGTCCTCCCTCAACCTTACAACCACAGGCAAAGGAATTCAGTGAAAACTCCCAATGGTATCTTAGCCATCACCTTGATTGCAGCCTTGCTTGATCCTGAACACAGGACTTAGCTGGACTTCTGATCCATAGAAACTGTAAAATAATAAATGTAAGTTGTTTTAAGATACTAAATTTGTGATAATTTGTTATTCAGCAATAGAAAACTAACATAATCACATCTTTTATACCCTCATCCATAAGCACAGTTGTAAGTTGCTGATCCTACTATTCAGTAACAACACTTAATGAAATGAATAGTTGACTGCTTTGAGTGAGCACCATAGAGTTTCCAAAGATATTAGCAGATTCTATCAAAAGGATTTTGTATTCTTTTATGATAGTCACATTTGGCCCTACGAAGAGACAGGAAGGCTGAGGAAAACAAAGGTTATTATACTCACAGGTCCTAAAGACAGGAGGCCCAGAACCCCATGCAGAGACCCATGGGAAAGCCAGCAGTGTGGCTGGGAGGCAGAAGACAGGAACAGGGGAAAGCATTAGGCCAGAGCCTAAGGCAGGGCTGAGTGAATAGTTTAAAATTAAATATGGTGGGCAGGTTTGAGATTATCGCTGTGGTTCTTAATGGTCTGGTACCTGGGCTGAAATGCTTACCGCAGGGAATATTGTCTCTTGGGCTGCAGGGGCCAGATAGAGGAGGAAAGGCATGGCTCTGGATTGGTTAGCTGGCGTGTCAAAGGCATGCTCCAACTCAGGCTTTCCCTGTCTCTAAGAACTGGCCAACCCTGGAAGGGGCAGTTTCATCTCAGCTAGAAAGGTTTTATAATCTGTCAAAACATCAGCATATACAGAAAATTTTTAAAACTCACACTATAAGAAATGATTCCCCCCCCCGCCCCATAATTTGTTAATGGGCATGAAAAGGCCAAAGTAATGGTACATTGTTCTAGTCTGAATATTAAAGGGGAATTAAATTAAAGGAGAATGCTGGAGTCTTTCTAGGTGTGCCATTTCCTAACATCAATTGCATTTATGTTAATGATTGTTGGTTATTCAAATTTATTCTATTTAATCATCTATAGATGGATCGTAGCTCTCACCCAAAAGGAAATCAGAAAAGAAAAAAAAAGTCTAGAATCAAGTTTTGGTGAACAACTCTAAAAGCTGTTAATGTTCCATCATTCTGCAGAAAGAAAGTACGGGACGTGAATTTCGGCAGCCTTGACAATCTAGTTAATATGGAAACACTCAGAGGGATTTATATTCATTCTTCATCTCTTTTGCAGTCATATTTTTCTTCAAGGTGGTCCCTCTTCCTTCTTACTGATCCTTTTTGGTCTGTGCTGTATTTGATCTCTAAAGTTTCATTAGAGTATTGACATTTTGACTTCTCTTCAAACTTTAAGATATTTAAGTAAAACATTCTTCAAAATTATACAAATATATACAATTCCTTGCACATTCAGAGTAGTATAACATTCTTATAAATGCTGCGTTAAGTTGAAAATGGAAGAAATATTTTAAATATTATTCATAAAAAGTTCAAAACTCAGTTTTTAAAGACTAAGTAAAGAAATGCTCAGGAACTCATTCATTTCACACCTGTCACCTGACAGTGTCTCCAATCATTCATGACCTTGTGTGGTTTTCATTGCATTTGCATGCCTGTGGATATACTGTTGACAATCATTACGCGAAACAGCTTCTAGCTAAACCTTAGGAGAAACCATGCCTGAGCATTTCAGATAGAAAAGTGACAGTCTGTGGAGGGAATTAACCACGCTTACAACATTGCGACTAAAAGATAGTCTTAAAATTAACTGCCTGCCACCATGAATGAGCTGAATGTTTTGGGCTACTGCACCATAGCCTTTACCACAGAAATCTCTTGGCATTTCTAAGATTCAAGACAGACTTTCTGCTTTTTGCTCTATTAGAAGATGCTAACAAAGCCTCAGCTCTGACATTTAAGGAAGGAAACTGTTATCACAGAGAGCCAAGTTATAATCATTCCAATGCATGTTAGCTTTTGGTAGTGCTGTGGGAACTCCCTGTAGCTCCTGCGTCTAGTTCAAAATCATTATAGTTGATGATCATGACACTATTCGGCTTGAAGTCTGTAGATTAAAATGTTGTAGCCAGAATTTCCTGCATTAACTAGATTGTCCCTGCTGCCCAAATTCGTATACTTTACTTTTTGAAGTATAATGAGATATCAATAGCTTTTAGAGTTATTCACCCTAACTTGATTCTGGTTTTCTTTTCTTCTTTCCCACATACTTTTTAGTTGAGAGCTAGAGTCCATTTACAGCTTTACTGCATTTTGTTTTCATAGCCACTGAATTCCTTATCCCTTCAGTATTTCTACTGTTAACAGTTCCTCAGTCCCAAGAGTTTCCTGTGCTTTGGGTACAAATAGACACCTTTTCTCCTCCACAGTGGTTGCCTCACCTGCTCCCTTTAGACAGAATTTGGTTATAAGGCATGTAGTGACTAATAACCAATCTTCTTGCCTCTGCATAGTCTGGTGTCAGCATAAATAGCAGTTCTTTCCCCTTTCCAACAAAAAGAAACTATATCATAGTTTAACACTTGAGCTGTTATTTCATAAAGAGTTCAATGCTTCAGCACAATTGCCTGATCTTTATCATCACAATTCAAGTTTTCGGGTTGCAGAGGAGAGAAAATATGTTCACGTTATCTTGCTCCTTGTACAAGAACATTCAACAACAGCTCTCTCCCCCAGTTCTGAGAAGAGAACAGCAGTCATTACAGCTACTGAATGAAGCTAGAAATATTGAAATAAGTCCCTTCTGTTTCAATACTTGACAGCTTTGTGCTTCTGCAGTCACAGGGGGTTGACCTGACATCTTCCTCTGATAGCTTCCTGCAGAGCTCTGCAGAATCACTTTTGCTTTGATTACCCAGTGATTTATAGCCTTTTTCATTTGCTTCTCATATCTCCTTTTTCCAGAGTGTGAGGAGCTTTCCTCAGACTCTGTTGCCTCAAAGCAATTTTACTTATCTCCCAGAAGTTCAAGACCCATCTCCATTACATACTTCGGGTTCTCCTAAATAATGATTATTTGGTTTTATCTTTCATCTTCTTTCCCTTTCGTGGCAACTTCCCCTGCCCCTTGTTTCTCTCCCCTTCTCTCTAGCATCAGTGTTTTTATCATGGAGCCAGATTTCACATAAACAAAGAGTACTCTAATTTTACTAATGATTCCTTACTAGAGAAAGAAAATATAATATTTTTTGGTTAAGCATCTACAATGTTTGTGAGTTACAGAGTGTATTAGTCAGTGCTTACTATAGTCAGATATAGAAGAGTGCAAGACATCTGTCTGTGTGCTGGAGACCTGAAGGATCCAGTTGAGACCTCGAGCCCACGGCAGTGTCTCATGCAAGTCTGTATCATGAGGCTGAAAGATCTGCGCCAGAAAGGCCCAAGGGCCAGTGCTGGTAACTGAAGTATCTGTGCCAACAGGTGAAGGATCTGTGCTAGAAGGGTGAGGGATCTACCCTGGAATCCAGGAAAAGACATCCAAGGTGAAGACAAGGATTGAAGCAACTCCAAAGAAAGGGAAGGGTCAAAGCTCTTTTGAAGAAAAACCGCTGAAACTCTTCCAAAGAAAAGCAGTTGCAACGAAGCTCCTCCAAGGAAGATCTGCTGCAATCCTTCCCTCCTATGCTCCTTTTATACTGTTCTGACAAGCCTCCTTAAGTGGGTCTTCCATGTCCAGAACCATGCTGACCCAGCTGGGCATTCCCCATTCAAGTTGACAATTTGTCAATTAACTTCCACACAGAGCTTTGTAGTGAGTTATCTCAATTCCTGATATGTCTGAAAAATAGTATGCCAACATTCAGGCATAGAGAGATGTCTTTGCAGGGCCCTTCCAGAAGCAAATTTGGGACAAAAAATGAGTACCCATAGTTTATTTGTGATGTTGCGAGATACAGGGAAGAGAGAGAGAGAGAGAGAGAGGGAGAGAGAGCCAGAGCCAGAGAGAGAGAGAATGAATATGAGGAAGAGAAATATGTCTTATTATAAAGGTACTATTAAGTCAGCTGCCATAGTGTGCAACTGAAGCTTAATCCTGTGAAGTTGTAAAAATGGTTTACGGCATGTACTTTATTTTGATTGCACTCAAGGGCAAAGGAGCTGGGGTATTTGTAAGTTCTTCGTAAGGGATGTTACTGGTAGGTTATAAATTACCCAGGCATTCTGTGCCTACCTTGCATAGCAACAAAGTGGATTTCAGCAACCCTGCAAAGTTGTAGATGCCAGCTGCTGGAAGGCAGGCTAGCATGCACAGAAGTGAAGAGACACTTAGAGGGGATTGTTGTAACTGTTCTAGGGAACCAAGGAAGAGAGCTAGAAGTGCTTAGTTTATCCCATTGACTACCACAAGCAATCAGTTTGAAAGTAGTACTAGCAATAAATTATTCTTCTAGATACCCAGCTCCCAAAACTCTTCCTATTTGAGGGGCTGTACATCATTAAGTGACCTGGTAAAATGCTTTCATTCCAGAGGCCAAAAGACCAAAGTTTTCTTTACTTGCTTCTTTATAGCTAGGGAATGGGCAGGTGATCTGGCCTTAGCCATTCAGAGACTCTGGCCTGGGACTTCTTACCTTTAAGGAGTAAGGCAAAGATTCAGGAACTGTGGTAAACTGTCCTTAAAGGTGTGCTGAGAATTCAGGAGCAAAGGGTTAATGGTAGCAGACTATCACCAATGGTACAAGTGTGACCTGGCTCCCTGATTTGTGTATATCTTTATATGCCATTCCAACAAATTCATCCTCGGCTTAATTTTGCAAGTGTTGGTTTCTGTTATCTACAGCTAAGAACAATTTGTTTTTGTTTTGTTTTGTTTTGTTTACAAGTTATTATTACTATTATTTTATTAATTTTATTGGTACATTATAGGTATACAATATAATGACATTCATCATTGGAAATTTGCACCTTTACATAATCTCTCTTGGATCCTATTTTTTCCCCATTCCTCTGCCCTCCCTTCAACTCCTCCATCCCTCCCTATTTACAAAGACTTTGTTTCCATTTTTTCACTTTCTCATATTAATTCCATTCCCTTCTTTCCCTTTCCCCTACTCCTCCTATTTCCCCTTTCCCTTTGCACCTTTTCTACCTATTTCACATTATCCTTATTTTCACATTAGTCTTTATTTACAGTCAGTTTCTCACACTAGAGAAACTATTCAGTATTTACATATGTGTGTTCTATTTATTTCACTTAAGAATATCGCTTCAATGTGCATCCATTTAGCTATAAATGTCTCTAATTTTTCATTTTTTATGGCTTAGTAGTATTCCATTTTATTAAAAAAAAACACGTTCTTTATCCAGTCTCCAGTTGATGGGCATTTGGGCTGTTTCCAAGTTTTAGTTATTACAAATTGTGCTGATATGAACATGGGTGCACATCTATCACTGTGGTATGATTCTTTTAATTCTTTGAGGAAGATATCCAGCAGGGGAATAGCTGGGTCAAATGGAACTTCCAATCCTATTTTCTTTGAGGTATCTCCATATTGATTTCCACAGTGGTTGCACCAGTCTACACTCCCACCAGCACTGGATCAGTGTTCCTCTTTCCCCACAGCGCTGCCAGCATTTGTTATTGGTCAATTTCATGATAGGAGCCATTCTTTCTGGGGTGAGGTGGAATCTCAGCATTGTTTTCATTTGCATCTCTCCAATGACCAGTGATGTGGAACACTTTTTGATATGTTTATTTGCTATTTCTTCTCTTTGTTTGAGAAATG